GTGATCAATTACATAATTATCAGTAACTTAAGCATATAAACATTAATCATATAATTAATAAATATTTTTTGTATGAAATAAGAAAAAAATTATATATACTGATACGTCATCAAAAATTTGCTTTGATCAAGCACGAATCTCGAGGCATATTCGAGTTGGAAATTTTCAAAATTAAATTTGAGATCATCTGAATTCCAATTTCAGCAAACTTATAGTCAAATTGAACATCTCAAAGAGACGAACCAAACAACACCAAAATTGGTCCAATCCAAGCCCAAATGGATCCGAATCAGGAGCCCGGACCACGTTTTGAAGGGTTAAAGTATTATTTGGACAATAAAATGATTTCTAAATATGTCATGCTTATAGTCAAATCGAGTGTCTCGGTGAGACGAATCCAACGAGCCCAAGATCTCTGAATTCCGACATCGTTAAGGTACTTAAACAGTTGAAAAACTTTCTACGATCGGGGGAATCAATACGAGCCATCCGATGGAGCACTCCGAACCAACCTCTGATCTTCTCTAAATTTACGGGGAGTGCCACTCATGAAAATCTATAAATAGACCCTCACTCTCTACATGAAGAGGACCTTTAGCTAGAGAATGGAGAGAGCTCTGAAGCTTCAAGAGCTATAGCATCACCGCCCAGCCGCTGGACTTCAACCCGCCTTCGTCGAACCACTGCCCGGCCAGCGACCTCCGCCGGACTTCAGCCCGACCTTCGTCGAACCACCGCCCGGCCGGCGACCGCCGCCGGACTTCAACCCGACCTTCATTGGTCCACCGCCCGGCTGTCGACCATCGCCGGACCATCGCCCGGCCGTCGGACTTCAGCCCGACCTTCATCGGACCACCGCCCAACCGCCGACCATCGCCGAACCACCGTCCGGTCGCCGACCACCGTTGGACTTCAGCCCGGTCATCGATGGACCACCGCCTGGCTGCCGACCGCCGCCGGACTTCAGCCCGACCTTTGTCGAACCACCGCCCGGCGGCCGACCATCACCGGACCACCACCGACTGCCGTCAGACTTCAGCCCGACCTTCGTTGGATAACCTTTGGCCGTCGACCATCTCTGGACTTTAGCCCGACCTTTTGTCGGACCACCGCTAGGCCACTGACCATCGCCGGATCCCCGCCTGACCGTCGTTCACCGCTAGACCTTCGTCGGATCTTTCCTTGTCGTCCAAACTTCTGCACAAAAGCCGTCGGATTTTCGTTCGACCATCTTTGGACCTTTGACTAACTCTTCAAATTACTATAATCTGACCACCTCTAAATCGAGGGACAGGTCAACCCTTGTAATTCACTCAAGTTTAGTGGAACCTTTTCACCTGGGCCCCTGTGGTTTTTCCCTCTTCTGATTTTCCACGTAAAAAAGATCGGATGTTTTGCTTCTCTCTTTCTGCTTGAGTGTTGGATCTTCGTACAACGCTAAGTCGCTTAACTTTATTTTTCTCCACCGTCGCGAATATTCCTGGACGCAACAAGATGAATTAAAAAAATAATAAGGGGAATCCTTATGGGAGTATGACTGATTAGCTCTACTAAGTTATTAGATTAATTTTGGATGATTAAGATTTAATATTCACATTTCAAAAGTCACTGTGTTTTTTATTAGATTTAATCTCAAATATTAAAAATAGGGAAAACAATTGAATTGGTCCCCTTATTTTTTATGAATGATCAAAATAATCTCTCAAAATATAAAAATACTAATTTGATTCATTAATTCTAAAGGATCCAATTAATTATTCAGTGTGATCATTTAATTTTCTATTTAAAAATCAAGTTATTGAAGTAGGAATTTAAATAGTAAAAAATTAATTTAATCATTTTTAAATATTAATTTAAGATATCAAATATATATTTTATTTAATATCACACCATAACTAAAATAAATAAAATATTTCTAAAATGCCCTTTAACAATTTAGAGTAAGCTTTGTCTCTTTCATCCACCCCACATTATGGTAACCATTGTACCAACCATGATGGTTGAGTGTTCAACAATCCAATACATCAAATTATTTTAGAAAAATACCCTCAATATCTCTCCCATAAATACAATATTCAATTGTCATTATTTGATTACAAAGATTTTTTTTAATTAAATTAATTGCAAGGCATGCTTTCTTTAATATATTTAATTATTTGTTTATTTGTTTGTTTTATATTCAATATGAAAAATATGAAATTTACAAATGAAACCATAAATAAATCTTGGGGTAGAAAGTGCAAAGTTTTTAAACTTCTCCAAAAAAATATGCAATTTATTAAAAAAAAAAAACACTAAGAGATTGGATAAGAACTTTATACTATTTAAAAATAGTGTGGCCCAAACCATCAGAACCAAATCAATGAACCCCTAACCTAACAGGCCGAACCAATTCATTAATTACATATATCCCCTTACAACCTCTAACTACTTTCATTCATTTAGCTATTAATTGCAGCATACAAAACAACCACTCATTCCTTTTTTATTTTTTTATTTTTTATTATTTATTATATGGTTTTTTTTTCTTTGTAAATTAGAATGATGATGCCACACTAATGCATTATCATGGGGTGCAATGAGTCAAGTCGGCTCATGAGTCAGCTCTGGTGGGTTCGATAGATGGCTCATGATTTAAGCTTGACGAGCTATCAAGTCGAGTTTGAGCTAATATTGGCTGGACTCGTTATTTCGTGATCCGATCTGTTAAAAATATTACTTTAAACTACACTTATAACACATTAATTTTTTTTTAAAAAAAAGTTTTGGAGCAAAATTGAAAAGAATATTTAAAAATTATATCTCATTTCCTTATATTAAGTCATTACTTATTATTTCTCTTATAACATCCTTATATTTTTGTCATTTTATTACAATAATTCTTTAAATCAAAGTCAATTTTCTCTTTCATTTTATCATAATAAATGGGTCAACTCGAGCTCTTAAAATAGAGCTTGATCTAAAACTCAAACTCGATCACTTGATCAAGCTCGACTTCAAAAACAAGGGTGGCTAGAGCTATGCTCGATTCCACTCTTTACACTTCTGACATCATTATATCACTTTCCTCTTTTTTTTTTTTTTTGAGCGGAGTATCTATCTGGTGCTACCCTAGAAGAATGAGATAGTTGACAGAGTAACTAATCCCTCGACAACCAGCCTTCATAAACATCATATCTCAAGAAAATAGAGTAAAAAAAAAACTCTAAAAGAAGTCTCTAAAACTTTGATCAAATGACATAACAAATGTCATCTCTTCAATAACTCAGCATTCTTTATTTGAAATTGGACATTATTTCAAACAAAATTTAGATAGATGACATTTATTAGCAAGAGAGAAATTTGATAGAGAGAAAATGGATAGATGTCACTATCATGCTCTCTTTCTCTTTGTCTCTCTCAATTCAATTGTAGTATTACATGTGATACCTATTTCATATTTATTTGAGAAAAAAATCTATGGTTGTAATTCAAAGAAGCTAATTCTTCTTGATAGCATTCCATCACATGGATTTTCTAATTATACATTCACATTGTCAAAAGATCTCCATGTCGAGTCTCATATGTGATTTTGATGATTCCCAGTATTATTGATTATTTTTGCTATACTAACATTTTAGAAAAAAATATTTTTTGCAGCGTCTGGATGCGCCCGGAGGCGAATCCGGATAAGCCATGTCACTGGGGGCCCAATGCATTCTGTGACGTGGCCCCACCGAATTCGCCTCCACACGCGTTCGAACGCTGCACAAAATAATCTCTCAACATTTCAGGTACATCATATAAGGAGCAAGGCCAAAGAAGAGAACTTAAGAATTGCAACATTAAGTTCAATCAAAACTATAATGATAAGAGTCTTTATTTATTTAGGTATTTTCTTAAAAAAAAGCCTCATAATTTATTTGGAATAAATTGTAAGAGTGGAAATAAAGGAAGATTATAAAAGATTGGACTGAAATTAATTTTCAGATATTTATTTGAACATGGTGAAATTGAGTGATCAATAGTTTTTAATTATTGTTTAGTTGATTTGAAGTTAAAATTCATATTTTCTGAGTTTGTTTATGTATTAATTACACTCAAATCAATTACTCAAAATAGAAGTATGAAATTAAATTAAATTATATTCTTTCAATTTCTTCCAAACTATACATAGCCTAAATATTAAATATAAATTTTAAAATTGCATAAAAATAGCACCCCAACTATTCGAATATGACAATTTTTTTCTGATAGTATAATCTTTTTTCAATTTAGTCCATCGGCTATACAAAATTGATCCAAATAGTCCTTTGGGACTAAATTATGATCAAATTTGTAAAGCTGAATGACTAAATTTAGATCAATTTTATATCACAATTACAACATTAGAGATTATTTTAGATCAATTTTATATAGTTATAAAATTAATTTGAGCAACGTGATAAAACTAAATTGGTCATTACACAATTAGTCTCAAGACTATTTTGATTTTTTTGTTAAAATTTTAGGTTTTTTTTTTTTAATTTGGACATTTAGGTCAGTTTGGACAAACTTATATATACAACACATACGTAAGTATCGAATCCAATGTCTCTTAGCTTATAGTCAAAGCTCTTAACCAAACAGATCAAGATGACCTGCGTCATACCCAATTACCCATCATATATAAATTTAGTAGTTTTGATATTATCGTGCTCAAATTCTAGTGAAATTATTCTGTGTGGATACGAATATTATTCGAAGGCAAATCAAAGTGCGTCACGTCATCTCTTTGCTGTGTACCATGATTATGTATCCACTGTGTACCAGGTAACGTTGTGTGTTCTAATACGCCCCTCGAGACTCCGAACGGTCCGCAAAGAATAATTTCTCTAAATTCTAAAGATAATATTCTCATCCAAAAAATCTCATTTATACAAATCTTATAAGCAATATCATAAAGGAACGCAAAAAAATATCATAAATTCAAATATTTTCGAAGTCCTATTTATCGTTCTCTGTTGCTGAAGTCTGATTCTCCGGTTAATATTTCTGTAAAAGCTTCGTCTTACATATACAGCGGTGGGTTCCCGCCATTAATGCTCTGACCTCGACCACCCTCCAACTCCCCCATATATCTACAGCTAGCCCTCACAGGTAGAGCAATGAGCTCGAAGAGATGGGCGAAATGGCTGGAGAAGGTGAAGCGCCACAGCAGCCTGGGGCTATCTTGGTCTGGGAAGACTTGACGGCGGTTGTGGCCAATCCCGGAGCCCGGAAGCCGGTGAGGAAGCTGCTTCAGGGGCTTAGCGGCTATGCCTTGCCTGGTCGCTTGTTGGCAATCATGGGTCCATCTGGCTCAGGGAAATCTACTCTTCTGGACTCCTTGGCAGGTACTGCTCCTTTTTTTGTCTGGGGAATTTGGTGACCTAGAATGGAGAATTAATGGTATGCGTTGGTTTTGGTTGTAGGGAGATTGGGGAGAAATGTTGTGCTGTCGGGAAGTGTGCTGCTCAATGGGAAGAAACGGAGGACCGATTACGGTGTTGTTGTACGCTTCTGTTCTTTCTTTTTTTATGCTGTTTTGTTATTTCTTGAATTTATATTCTTTTGTGAAATCTCCCTTGATTTTCTTTTTAATACTATTAAATTGATCAGTTTATTATTGTCTCGAAACCTAGTTAGCTTGGTCGCTTGTAGGATGTTTGTTAGTTTGCTGGAAGACAAGAAAAGAGGTTGTTAGCCTACAAGTAGGATTCAACTCAGGTAGGATTTAGTAAAACCCGGTAATTTTATATTTAGAAAATCTTGAGCGGATCAAAATCTGAAAAATATTTTGCTTTTTTTTTTTTTAAAGGATTTGAGATATTTAGCTATTCTTGAATCCTGTGAATGATGAAATTCAACAAATCATTAATTTAATTAATAGTGGTGCCGACATTTAGGGTTAATCAAAATAAAAGGATTTAATGTCCCAAAAATAGTGTTTAGCAGGATTTATAAAATCGATAAACTTGTGGATGTTTCACATGACGCGTGCAGATTGAGATCCCAAAAAAAAAAAGCTTTTGTGGCACTCTGAAAACCATAAAAAAATGACATTTTGGAGCTATTTTGAACACCTTGCATCCCGAGGGACCAAAAAAAAAAAAACGCGATGTTTGTTGAAGTGTTATTAGTGGTTTCAGACACTGCATGTTAATTGAATCTGATTCATGTTACATCAACTGTATAAAACTATAAATGCCTCTGAATAATAACTTTAGTACTTAAGTTCCTTCCGTAGGTGAAGTAGATTGAATGGGCCTGAACCGACCTATGTCAGCTCAGCCAGGTCGTGGCTGGCTGGTCACTTCCTTGCATGTAACAATTGTTGCTGCTGTCTCCCATTGGAATCGATGAGATGACCACACTACTACTGCTCCCTTCTTGTCAATTGGGGAAGATCAATCCCCTCAAACGGTGACTAAGAAACCTGGAAAAGGATCAAAATGATCCCCTGACTAAAAAGTATTAAAATAGTCCTCAACTATATTAAAAGATCATTTTGGTCTCTCAAGTCTTTAAAAAATAAAAAAATATTATCACTGTGAGACTATATTTGTTCCTTTTTAAAGAGTTTAGAGATAAAAATGGTCTTTTAATATAATTGGGGACTATTTTTGTCTTTCATAACGAGTGAAGGGACCATTTTAATATTTTTCTCCTAAGAAATCAATGAAGTGAAGTTGCCAAAATTAGTGTGAATTGTTAAAGTTCTGATATGTATCAGAACAATATTTAGACTAAATAAGCTCTGTTCCATTTACTGCGTATGCACGTTGATCATCATATCTCGGTTGTATTGATCCCAAAGATTTGCGCTTGCAACATGTTAGCTCTTTGATTCAAGCAAGGCTAGATCAGTCATTAGCAGTCATTGCATGATTCTTGAAGGCCACGTGTTACTCTCTCCCATCAACCAATAAGGCTTTTCGAATTACACAAAAATGCTGGCAGAAACAATTTGTTGATAGCCTCCTTGCATGCTTATTATAGATGGCATGTCAGAGCACTGTCATTGGATTTTCATCTCCAATTATATTCAGAAATGCCAAGACCCACCTTGTTCTATTCTAAGGTCGTCAGTCAAATTTCATTGATTACTTCATTTTTCATCTCATACCTAATGGCGGTGGCAATGCCGATTTAGTTTTAGAAGGTGCAGATGAGAGTATTTAGGTTGGATATGGAATAGGAGGGAAAAAATTGATGAACAACGCTCGAGAGTTGAGAAAGGCTTTTTTTACTTTTGTTGCATGTTAGAAGTTGTGTTAGTAGAGAGAGATAATATCATCTTAATTATGAATTGAGAAACACAATCAGAAAAGTAAATAAAGCGAGTAGATGTTACATGATTTTTTATTGAAAATATGAAATTATTGAACTTATCCTAAATAAAAAAAAAACTTCTACTAAAAGTAGATATGAATTACAAAATGTCGCTATTTCTCAAACTCAATGAAAACATCAATAAAAAGCAATGTAAGTAGGCTTACATTTGTGTCATCTATTTAACAACACAATGAGGTTGAGCACTGATGAGTGATGATAGCCAATTTTTTAGGGAGTTGAGGATGGCATGACTTTAAAGTGACAAAATAAGAGGCATTGAAAGATTGAGGAGGCCTTTGAGGATGGTCGGTTTGGTTCTCCCCTAGGGGCAAAGTTGAAAATGTGAGGACTATAGATAAAGTTACAATGAAAGGCTAGGGAGGCGATTATTGGAAGTTAGAATATCCTATTTTTAGAGTTAGAGAAGACACGACTTGTAGGTTGTGGGCAAGGAAGCATTTTGAGGTCATGGAGGTGACTGAGGATGGATAAAATACCCCTATGTTTGGAGGTATGAGCAACCCATCCTGAATTTAGGGGACAAGAAGGTCTAGGAAGATTACCAAGGTAATTAAGGATAGTTGGGTTCTTCTTCTTAGAAGTGAAGGTAGCACGAGCTTTGAATGATCGATGAGGTGGTGTTGGAATGTCATTGCTTAGCCAAGCCATTCTAGGATATTCCTTTATAGAGGACCATAGACACCCTTAGGCTAGGTTAGCCCTAATTTGCCTTAGGTGGTATCCATAACCCTTAGAATGAATACTCTAGATCTCCTAAACCTATTTGGAAGCATGACCCTTCACAAGGCCCCATTTGTGAAAGTTTAAAGTTAATCAAAAGCCAAAAACTCAAAAGTACCTTTAGATGGGCCCCTAAGTTGATTGGACCAATCATGGCCCAATCAACCCTGTATTGAATTAGAAGCTTCTTAGGGATCCTAGGACACTCCCAGATCATCTTGGATAAGCAGTGGAACCAAATGGTCTTCCCTAGATGAAAACCTAAAATAACTAAAATTCCCCAAATCACCCCAACTTTAGGATTTACCACAGCTGATCTTTGACCTAAGGACTAATCCTAATGACCTTGATCTACTTTTGGACCCACTTCATGAGTCAAGGACTTAGTCATACCCTTTGACCAGAAGTCAAGGGAGATTTGACAAAGGTCAACCGTTAACCTTAATCTGAACCCAAAACTCTCATCTAAGTCATTTAACCTGGGAATTAAATCTAAATGGTCCTAATAATTATTAGGAACACTTGGACTTATGGTAACCCTCTTTGATCATGGTCAACCCAGATTTGACCTAAAGCATAAAAGAACCCTATATCAAATCTAAATATTGAAAATTCATCAATTGGGATTTATTTTAGTCTAAGTTATCTTAATTCATTTTGAGATCACTTGAATTGATGGTTGACCCATGGTCAAACTCCTTTGTCCATGGTCAACCCAAATTTGACACAAGCTTTAAATAACACTCCTAAATTGAACCTAGGAGTCAAATTCAAACTAAATAGTCTCCTTGGCTTTGAGTCCAAATGTTTATAATCTATCTTAGGATCACTTGGACTCATGGTTGACCTATAGTTAAGCCCCTTTGACTATGGTCAACTTATATTTGACCCAAGACCCTGAAACCCTAAACAAACTCAAAATTTACTATTTGACCTTTGGCTTTAAATGACTCTAATCCATCTTAGAGTCACTTGAGGTCATGCCTAACCCATGGTCAAGCCACATGTGTTGAAATTATTGAAAACCCTTAAGCAAACTATTTTTGGTCAAACCCAACCTATGGGTCTTAGTTTTGATCCTAAATGATCCTAACCCATTCTAGGATCACTTTGGGTCATGCCTAACCCATGTTCAAGGATATTTGATCATGAGTAGTCAAAATTACTAAAAGACTCCTAAGGATACCTATCCTTGATTTTTTAGGATAAAGCCTAGTAAACTAAGCCCAAATCCAATCAAACTTGGTTTGACCTTTTCGTAGTCCCTGGGCTTTTTGCCCGGGTTAAAACCAATCCAATTGGGCTAGCTCAAAGGGTGAAACAACCCAAGACAAGCCAAATTCATCAACCTAAAAGTCTAAACCCAAAATTGAGCTACCCTTCCCCTTTGCTTGGCCAGCTATCCCCAACTGCCTTGTGTGGATCTCCACCATCTTCACACCTATGAATTTTCTCATGACAACTTGAGTTCAGATTAAACCCTTACGAAATTTTCAGTCTAGGATCTTTAGATAACTCTGAACTTAAAATAATTATGATAAATTACCCTTGATTTAAAAAAAAAAAACATGAGATTAAAATCAGATCCTCCCTCAATCTTATGAATTAGAGGGAAAATTTGATGAACCCTAAGGACCATGGTTTGCTCCTTCAAAAATTCATTAAAGGTTAAGCCCCATAAATCAACTCTAAATGACCCTAAATTTTTAGGGATTGATTAAGCTTTACAATAACTTTTGATTTTTCATAAGAATTTAAGATCATTTACTTAGAAAATTCTCAAACATTAGTTATAAGGTTAGAGTTGTGGACCTAGTAAACTTGCATACTTCACTAATAATTTAACAAATATCGTTAAAATATGAAATCATTTGCAATAGAATCTAAATTATTTGTAGAATTCAGAAAATAATATTTCAAACCATTTTGAGGTTAAAAAATAAAATTTCTTAATTTTTGAGTAATAATTTAATTTTAAATCAATAAATCCTTAGAAATCATGGTTAATTCCAAATGAGTTGAAAATTTTATGGAACGATCCTCATCTCCATAGTGACTTGTAATTCAAATTTCATAAAATTTAACTTATTTGATAGGCCAAATCTTAAACTTAATTCCAATATCAATGAAACCCTAATTTATGTATTATTAATTATAAATTTATTAAAAAATAAAAGACCTTAATTATTATTTTTGAGCCAAAACTAATATTTGAAATTTAGTTGGGCAAAATTAGGCTAAAGCTCAAATCCTAATCGACATTCAGAACATTAAATTTACAATATTGACATATTGATTTACAATGATAGTCAAAACAGGTGTGATGCATAGAACAATAATGCTTGATTTTTTCAGAACCTAGTTCCTTCTAACATTAGGTTTTTTTTTTCTAAGATGAAAACTCTATAAAATAAGGAATCAAGTAAAATTGATTAG